GAGAAGGCCCTCGCAAAAATCGATAAACTGACTAAGACCGAGGCTATTTTGGCCCAGAGAAGAGTACTTGAGAATAAGCTGGAAGATATTCTCCTACAGGAAGAGCTGATCTGGAAGCAACAATCCAGAAATGAGTGGTTAAAATTTGGGGATAAGAACACAAAGTTATTTCATCGAAGAGCCTCAGATAGAAGAGCTAAGAATATGATTAGGAAGATTAAGGACGAGGATGGGAGGGTATGTGTTGGCCAAGATGATGTAGCTCAGTGTATAGTGCAGTTCTATAAGAAGTTGTACTCTGCTGGAGTAAGAACAGGGTCTCAGAGGGTGATTGATGTTGTACCACAGAAAGTTACTACAGCCATGAACGAGGAACTGTTACTACCACTGGCGAGAGAAGAGATATGGGCTACGTTGAAATCTATGGGGCCCTTAAAGGCTCCAGGAGCTGATGGAATGCCTGCCCTTTTCTTTCAAAAGAATTGGGACATTATGGGGGATTATATAACTGCAGAGTTGCAGGGGTATTTTGAGGAGGGAAGTTTTCCAGAGCAACTAAACCATACCCTCTTGGCCCTGATACCAAAAAAGAAAAATCCCCAAACCCCTGTGGATTTTCGCCCTATTAGCTTATGCAAAGTACTGTATAAGATTCTCTCTAAAGTACTTGCAAATAGGCTTAAAGGGGTGTTAAACAAGGTTATTGTCCCAAACCAGAGTGCATTTGTGCCTGGGAGATTGATCATGGATAATGTGATGATTGCCTTTGAGTGTTTTCACTCGATGAAGGCCAGAAGTACAAGAAATAAGGGTTTTATGGCAGCAAAGCTTGATATAACTAAAGCCTATGATAGGGTAGAGTTGGATTTCCTGGAGGCTGTGATGTTGAAGTTGGGGTTTGACTATCGGTGGGTGCAAATGATCATGACTTGTGTTACTACAGTGTCTTTCTCTACTTTGGTAAATGGCCATCAAACGGACACTTTTTACCCTAGTAGAGGTTTGAGACAGGGAGACCTCATTTCTCCATATCTGTTTTTGTTTGTAGTGGAAGGTCTCTCAGCTTTAATTTCTAAGGCCGAGAGGGAGAAACAAATAGAGGGGATCAGGGTGAAGAAGAATGCACCACAGATTTCTCATCTTCTATTTGCTGATGACAGTATCCTGTTCATCAGGGCTAATGAGAGGGACTGTGAAAGGGTGAGAGCTATCCTAAGTATATATGAAGCTGAATCGGGCCAGCAAGTTAACTTACAGAAATCTGAACTCTCCTTCAGCCCTAATGTTCGACAGAGAAGGAGGAGGGAACTGGGAGTAATTATGAATATGAGGATGTGGAACATCATCAGAAATATCTAGGGCTACCTACAGTTATAGGTCGCTCTAACAAACAAACTTTTGGTTACTTGGTGGACAGAGTGAGATCGAAGGTGAAAACTTGGAAAGAGAAGCTGCTTTCGGTGGAGGGAAAGAGGTTCTAATTAAATCTGTGGCGCAAGCCCAAGTGACATATGCAATGTCAGTTTTTCAGATCCCTGCTAGCACCCTAAAGGAAACTAAGCAAGCTATTGCTCAGTTCTGGTGGGGACAACAACAGGATGAGGGAGAACCCATTGGTTGAACTGGAAAGAGCTCTGCAAGCCAAAGAAGTGGGGAGGAATGGGGTTTAAAAATCTACAGAGTTTTAATCTTGCTCTACTTGGAAAACATTTATGGCGCCTAATACAAAGTCCTAATACTCTGGTGGCACAGGTAATGAAGGCTAAGTACTTTGAGGATCGTGATCCTTTAGAGGCAGAAGTGGGGAGGAATCCAAATTGGATCTGGCGTGGTTTAATGGCTGCAAAGGATTTTGTTAAAAGAGGTACAAGGTGGAGAGTGGGAAATGGCCACAAGATAGACATTTGGTTAGATAGGTGGATCCCATCAAGTGCCAATCTTAGAGTAACCTCTCCAACAACACTTTGGAGCAATACTACCTCAGTGTCTGAGCTAATTGATACTGAAACAAGGAGCTGGAGAACTGAGTTACTACAGGCGCATTTCAACCCCACAGATCGTCTCAACATTCTAAAAATCCCTATCCCACGACAACCTATGGAGGATAAGAGAATTTGGGCAGAGGAAAAATCGGGGGAGTACTATGTTAAGTCTGCTTATAGGCTATGGGAGGATAGGAATGTGGAAGAGGAAGGAGAAATTTACAACCGGTGAATTGGAAACGGCTCTGGAACTTGAAGATCCCTCCTAAGGTAAAAGTTTTTGCTTGGAAATGGCTGCGGAACATAATTCCTACAGGTGCTAGAATCCTAGATCGAACGCATAAGGGTAGTGATGGATGCCCTTTTTGCAATCTCAGGGAAACACAAGAACACATTTTCAGAGAGTGTGCATGGGTTCGAAGGATCTGGAGGTATAGCCCGATGAATCCATACATAGAAAGGGGAGAAGAACTCACCTCGGAGGAGTGGTTCTGTGACCTTCAAGAGACTGAAGCCGATGAGAAATTGGGACTGTTCTTGGTTGCCCTCTGGTACATTTGGGATCAACGGAACTGCCACTTATGGAATAAAAAGAAATTAGAGGAATGGGAGATTTTACCCAGAGCAAGTGAATGGATTGAAGATTACCTGGATAAGCAAGCTAAGTCTCTCCCGGCGGAGCGAACGACGGAGCATCGGTGGCAACCACCACGAACAAAACCGGTGAAGATTAATGTGGACGCAGCGTGTTTGGAAGGTCGGGGAACGGGATGGGGTGTGGTGTGCAGAGGCGCTGATGGAGGTTTCCGGTTTGCGGGAATCAGAAGATCAAGGATCCAATGGAACCCAGAGGAGGCAGAAGCCATGGCTATTGTTTTCGGTTTGGAGCTGACAAGAAGGATGGGTTCGAGGAAATGGAGATAGAATCGGATTGGTTAGGGGTGATTCACCAGCTGCGCAAGGATGAAGAAAGGGAGACCGAAATTGGGCTGGTTTGTGCAGAAATCCGGGCCAAAGACCAACAACTGGGTGATGTGTCCTGGTGCTTTGTGGGCCGCAATGGAAACAAACTGGCCCATGTTTTGGCCCATACCGACTGTGCTTGGGATAGTGAGGAAGTGTGGGTTACTAACCCACCTTATTTCCTTGTACCTCTTCTTAGAGAGGATGAAACCTTTGATTAATTAATTGAAAGCAGATTTCCATAAAAAAAACCATTTACATTGTTATCCCCACCCACCGAGAACCACAAGCGAGCGGACCATAACTAGTATTATATTATAATACATGTCTAAAGATAGGAAAAATTGTTATTATGAATATTGAAGAAATATAAAACTTTATAATTCCTTTGACTTGGTCATGAAGAGACCGGCCACGTAGAAAAGAGCTTCTCTTTTCTCCAAAATAATTATAATAAAAAATAATGCTTCATAATTAAATTAATAAAAATAAAAGAATTCCTTCTCCTGTTCGTAAAAAAAAAAAAAAAAAAACCTTTTCCTGTGCGTAAAAAGAATTCTCTTTGTTCATCCTAAATTTAAGTCTCTGCAATTCGGCTCACTCTTCCTATAAATAAACAGCTCCAGGCGTACAGATTCTCACATCTTCATCCATCAATCAGTAGCTCCCGCTTTCTACGGAGAAGTTAACCAATAGGCAGAGGCGGAGGCAGCCAGTTTTGCCCCTGTCACAGGACAGGGGTCATTTTTGACATGGAAAAAAAATACCCCCATATATGTTCCACACAAGTATCGAACCCACAACCTTCAGTTCACACAGCGTAGCTTTACCGCTACGCTACATCCAATTGTTTGATTATTAATGGAAACAATATAGATATATTCGTTCTTAAACGGAATCCCAATTAAACAAAAACCTAATCCCATCCCCTTACCCTCTTCGTATTTCATTTTTCATACAGCAGAAAGACAGACGAGAGAGACAGCAGCAGTCGGCCTCTTCAGCGGCAGGGGAAAGGGGATTTTCCTCCTCTGCGACCATCACCGATCCAACCCAGCAACCCTAATCATTTCGACCTTTCTTCTTATTTTCCCCAGCAACCTCTGCGAGACTGCGACCATCACCGATCCAACCCAGCAAAAGTCATCATCCACAGGCAAGCGGCAGCGGGTGTTGGGTGGCAATCCTTCCATTCTATTTCACCATTTTGTTCTAGGTAAGCTGTGAAATTGAAACCTGAAATTATATTGTGTTGTTCACCGATGTAACTCATGATAGTTGTGTTTGTTGATATGTAAATAGAACTGAAATTGTGTTGCTTATTGTGTGCTTATCTTGGCAAATTAGATCTTTCAAATGGAGAGGTATTACTTTCCAAAGAAGAACAAGACTTCCCCAATTACTACAGCCCAAGATTTTGAAGGAAGTGGAAGTAGACAAGCCCAAACTTTTCCTCCTTCAACGGTGGTGGTTCCTTCCGAGATTCGACAATCAAATGTATCGGTTTCGATAAATCAAACTTCACTACAAAGTAAGTCTTCATCTCAAGAAAGTGAAAGTGAGTCTTCCTTTGAATATGAAGAAAGCCGGTTTGATATGAATTCATTGAAAATGGATCCGGGATTAAGAGATAAAGTTTCTAGTTTTCATCCTGATGTGCAAGATGAAGTTAGAAGGTTTTATCTTGAAAATGGTCCGTGCCAACCTAAAGGTCATCGTTTTCCATATAGTGACTTTAGTGGGAAGAAACGCAGATTCCGTTCATCTTGGTTTCTAGAGTATAATTGGCTTGAATACAGTATTGAGAAAGATGCAGCATTTTGTCTCTACTGTTATTTGTTTGGTAAGAAAAGTGGAGCACAGGATGGTTTTGTTGGTGAAGGTTTCAGAGGATGGAATAGAAAGAAGTGTTTTGCTGATCATGTGGGCAGGCATAACAGCTTCCACAACAAAGCTAAAGGCAATGCAGACCTTTTGTTGAAGCAATCACGAGGCATTGCAGCTAGTTTATCTAAACAATCAGATCAAACCAAAACAGATTATCGAACTCGATTGATGGCTTCACTTGAGTGCATAAAGTTTCTTATGCGGGGTGGATTAGCTTTTCGTGGGCACAATGAATCATCATCTTCAAGCAACAAAGGTAACTTTCTTGAGCTATTGGAGTTTCATGCTTGTGGTAGAGAAGAAGTAGAAAGAGTTGTTTTGAGAAATGCTCCAAAAAATCTCCAATTGACCTCCCCAGATATCCAGAAAGATCTTGTTCATGCAATGGCTTCTGAAACAACCAAAAAAATCATTCAAGATCTAGGAGATAACTTCTTTTGCATATTAGTTGATGAGACTCGTGATGCTTCAACCAAGGAACAAATGGCCATTGTTTTACGTTATGTGAATGATCAGGGTTTGGTTATGGAGAGGTTTCTTGGTACTACTCATGTGGCAAATACCAAAGCCTTGACACTTAAGGGTGAAATTGAAACTATGCTTTCAAAACATGGATTGAGTATGTCAAGGATAAGGGGACAAGGCTACGATGGAGCTAGCAACATGAAAGGACAAATCAATGGGTTGAAGAGTTTGATCTTAGCTGAAAATTCTTCTGCTTATTACATTCATTGTTTTGCACATCAGCTTCAGTTGGCTCTTGTTGCTGTAGCTAAGAATCATCTTGAAGTTGGTGATTTTTTCAAGACTGTCAATAGTGTGATGAATCTGATTGGAGCATCTTGCAAACGATCTGAGTTTATTCGGGATGCTCAAGTTGAGAAGATTGCTGAGGCTGTAGCTGCTAATGAACGAGAGACTGGAAGGGGATTGAATCAAGAAATGGCTCTTAAAAGACCAGGTGATACTCGTTGGGGTTCTTACTATGGGGCGCTTATCAATTTGGATAGCATGTTTTCTGCTATTATTGATGTGTTGGATACAATTCAGAATGACCCTACTTCTGAGACAGATACAGCTATTGATGCATGGCGTATGTCGATTACACTTCAAGATTTTAACTTTGTCTTCATTTTGAAGTTGATGATTGAAGTGTTAGCGATAACGAATGAGCTATCACTAGCATTGCAAAGGAAAGATCAAGACATTGTAAATGCCATGAAACTTGTTCGTGTGTCAAAGACCAGATTACAAGAGATGAGAGACAATGGATGGGAGTCTTTGCTTGATGATGTAGTTTCAAGCTGCACTAAAGATTCTATTCACATTCCTATCATGCATGATGTGTATGTTCTTCCAGGACGGTCAAGGCGCAAAGCTCCGGATATCACAAACCTACATCACTTTCAGGTTGAACTGTTTTACACGGTTGTGGATATGCAGCTGCAAGAGTTGAATAATCGCTTTGATGAGGTGAATACCAGATTGTTGACTTGCATGACTTGTTTTAGCCCGGAGTTTGAATTCGCTGCTTTTGACCTGGAGAAACTGATGTGTCTTACTAGATTTTATCCTGCTGAGTTTGGTTCCATCCATGATACTATTATTCGACAACAGTTTATTGGGTATCATCGTGATGTTACTGCTGATGAGAGATTTGCTAGATTAAAAGGAATTGATGAACTTTCTCGAGTAATGGTGGAGACAAAAGTGCATCAGTCATATCCGTCTGTTTATTTGCTTCTGAAGCTAGTTTTGACTCTTCCAGTTGCAACTGCAAGTGTAGAAAGAGCATTTTCAGCTTTAAGTTATATCAAGAACAAGCTTCGAAGTCGAATTGGAGATCAGTTTGCTAATGATTGTTTAGTAGGATACATTGAAAGAGACTTACTTACGCATGTAGACAACGAATGTATTTTGCATTTCTTTCAGAATATGAAAACCCGTCGTGGTTGTTTGTGAAAACAATGATTGTATTAGTGGTAATTTCTTTATCTATGAATGGATTATTTGGATATTATTAATTTTAATTTAATTAATTAATTAATTAATTATATTTATATTTTGAAAAGAGGACAGGGGTAGTTTCAAATCCTGGCTCCGCCACTGCCAATAGGTCCAATTGCGGCAACAATGTCGACAGCGGAGGCGGCGGCGGAGAAGAAGAAGTTGATCACTCTGAAGAGCGGCGACGGCGAGTCCTTCGAGGTGGAGGAAGCGGTGGCGATGCAGTCGCAGACGATCAAGCACATGATCGAGGACGGCTGCGCGGGCGACGGCATCCCGATCCCCAACGTCACCGGCGGGATTCTGGCGAAAGTGATCGAGTTCTGCAACAAGCACCACCAGCAGCCTCCTGGATCCGACGCCGCCGAATTGAAGAAATGGGACGCGGAATTCGCCAAGGTGGGCCAGGACACCCTGTACGATCTGCTTCTGGCGGCGAATTACTTGAACGTCAAGGATCTGCTGGATTTGATCTGTCAAACTGTGGCCGACCTGATCAAGGGGAAGACGCCGGAGGAGATACGGAAGTACTTCAACATCGAGAACGATTTCACCAAGGAGGAGGAAGAAGCGATTCGGAGGGAGAACCAGTGGGCGTTTGAGTGATGTTCAGTAGTGAAAGAATCAGCTTTGTGTTTGAATTTTGATGTTACTATAAGGGTTTATGTATGGATTCAGCGGAAGAGACAAAGCCATTTGTTCTCTCTCTTTTTTTTATAGTGACAAAGCCATTTATTCTTGTTTCAATGTGAATTTTTTTTTCTTTTAAATAATGGTGAGACATGTATTAAAGAAAATGAGAAGAAAGTTCAAGGGTACAAAGAAACATCATTTTTAGCGACGGACTCACTCGTCGCTAAAGGACAGAAATCTGTTGCTAAGAGCCAAGAGGTTCTACGAGTAATTTATCCACTTATCGTTGCCAATGACGTTTCCCAGCCGCCGCATATACCTCATTGTAAAACGTTTATGCGACGAATATTATAACTCATCCTTTGCTAATGATGCAGTCCCCTGGCTGGGGTCCGGATCCTATCAGTAACCGACCTATCAGTAACGGTCAGTAACCGATGATCCGGCCGTCCATCGCGCCATCTTCCCAGCCGTCAGATCAGGCCACTTAAAATACACGCGGGGGCAAAAACGTAATCTCGTCTCTGACAATTTGAATTGCAGACGTGACAGCGACAACCGTCCCGCCTTCTCTCCTTCTTCCTCTCACCTTTCAAGCGACAGTTCCACTTCCCTCTCTGCTCTCTAACTCTCCATTCTTCCTCTCGATTCTCAATTCTCTCACCAAAATCGCAGCAAAAACTTCCAGAAAAAACTTCAAATCGAACGATTTTCGCAAAGGATTTCGAAGAATCATTCAACGATACACTGTTCTCGCTTCTTCGTCGAAAAACGAAGAGTTTCCAACTTCAACGAGGCTCAAAAATCGTTTTCGCACAAAATATCAAGGTAAAACCTCACTTCTTTCTTCGAAAATCCATCCACAGAACAATAGAACAGTATCGCAGTCACTCTCCATGCGTTGCTGAACTGATGTAGAATCTGTTGTGTTTTGCTTCATTACCATATGGTAATGAGTGGTAAATTAAGATTGCATGTTCTAAAAAAGCGAAAAACCATAAGTCCTGCTGTGTTTTGTTCGTTACCATATGGTAATGTGTGGTAAGTTATGATTGCATGTTGTAAAATAGCAAAAAACCATAAGTCCTGCTGTCATTTAGTTCGTTACCATATGGTAATGAGTGGTAAACTATGGTTTCATGTTGTAAAATAGCAAAAAACCATAAGTCCTGCTGTGTTTTGCTTCTTTACCATATGGTAATGAGTGGTAAACTATGGTTTCATGTTGTAAAATAGCAAAAAACCATAAGTCCTGCTGTGTTTTGCTTCGTTACCATATGGTAATGTGTGGTAACCTATGGTTTCATGTTGTAAAATAGCAAAAAACCATAAGTCCTGCTGTGTTTTGGTTCGTTACCATATGGTAATGAGTGGTAAACTATGGTTTCATGTTGTAAAATAGCAAAAAACCATAAGTCCTGCTGTGTTTTGGTTCGTTACCATATGGTAATGAGTGGTAAACTATGGTTTCATGTTGTAAAATAGCAAAAAACCATAAGTCCTGCTGTGTTTTGGTTCGTTACCATATGGTAATGAGTGGTAAACTATGATTTCATGTTGTAAAATAGCAAAAAACCATAAGTCCTGCTGTGTTTTGCTTCGTTACCATATGGTAATGTGTGGTAAACTATGGTTTCATGTTGTAAAATAGCAAAAAACCATAAGTCCTGCTGTGTTTTGGTTCGTTACCATATGGTAATGAGTGGTAAACTATGGTTTCATGTTGTAAAATAGCAAAAAACCATAAGTCCTGATGTGTTTTGCTTCTTTACCATATGGTAATGTGTGGTAAACTATGGTTTCATGCTGTAAAAATGGAGGAAAACATACATCCTGTTGTGTTTTACTTCGTTACCATATGGTAATATGTTATAGACATGGTTTGATGTAATTACCATATGGTAAAATGAGATAAATATATGGTTTGATTTGGTATGGTATGAAACCATTATGGTACCATATGGTATATCATGATAAAAAGCACGCTAACAGACTATTCCTAATTTCTACATTCAGGTACACTATGGTAAACCAAAGAAAAAATTTTCGCACAAGGTGCAGCCCAACAAGAATATCTGCAATTACAAGGACTATAAAAGATGACCAGAAAGAGAAACTTGAGACATTAGGCCTAGCAGGCTTAATGTCAATCAAGCAGACAAAGATAAACACCCATTTTGCACTGTTCGTAATGAACAAATACAATCCAATGAAACAATCTTTCAAGCTACCTGACGGGACACGCATGAAGATATCACCAATTGACTTTCATAGGGTATATGGTCTGCCAATGGGGAATAGGGAAGTTGTACCTCCCACGATTTCTTGGGACGATGCAGCAGATTATGCAGTAGAAACCCTACTGGAAGTAGATGGAGCATCCACTCCAAGGGTAAAGCTAAGTCAGGTAGAAAAAGATCTTTCTACAGTTACCAACAGTAAGAGATGGTTACAATTGTTCTTTCTGCTGGTCACCGGAGGCTTGCTGTGCCCAACTTCAGCCCCTATGGCTGAACTCAACATGCTTGAGTACTTGAAGACTGATGAACAGAAACATTTCACCAGCTACAACTGGTGCAAATACTTCTTCAACCACATGAATGAAGGATTGAAATCACCAAAGTTCTATGTCAATGCAGATCTTCACTTCCTTACAGTAAGTCTCCATTCCCTTGGCCATTTCAACCTTGTTACTCATATATTTTATATATAAATGATACTCTTTGAAAAAACTAATACAACTATCTGCATAAAAAGGTATGCTTCATGTACAAACTGGACGAAATGGCATTCTCAACCCAGCTTCAAACACCAACAGTAAGCTACTATGATGATAACAATGTTGATAGCAACTTTGAGAACATTAAGAGCTACTACAATGGAAAACAGTTGAACGAGATCGAAAAGATTACCAACATTAGAGACGATGAGGCTGATGATGAGGCTGATGATGAGGCTGATGTCGCAGCTGATGAGGAAGAGGAGAATGAGCCAGTCTATGAATCACCGAAAAGACAAAGAAACAAAAGTCCCGAGCAGTCATCATCACTGAACTTTGATTTGAAGAAAATCAGAACAGTCAACCAAGTAAGTACAAATTATCTATATACCAGTTGTCCAATACATGCTAAGCGTAAGTCCTGTGTTTTACTTTGTTACCATATGGTAAAGTGTGGTAAGCTATGGTTCCATGTTATAAAAATGGAGCAAAACATAAGTCCTGTTGTGGTTTACTTCGTTACCATATGGTAATGTGTGGTAAGCAATGGTTTCATGTTATAAAAATGGAGGAAACCATAATTCTTGTTCTGTCTTACTTTGTTACCATATGGTAATGTGTGGTAAGCTATGCTTTCATGTTTTAAAAATACAAAAAACAACAAGTCCTGCTGTGTTTTAGTTTGTTACCATATGGTAAAGTGTGGTAATCTACGGTTTCACGTTATAAAAATGGAGGAAAACATAAGTCCTGTTGTGTTTTAATACGTTACCATATGGTAATGTGTGGTAAGCAATGAATTCATGTTATAAAAATGGAGGAAACCATAATTCTTGTTCTGTTTTACTTTGTTACCATATGGTAAGGTGTGGTAAGATATAGTTTCATGTTATAAAAATGCAGAATAGTGATAATAATTGCCAATACCATGTATTACCACCATGGTAACTAACCATACTCCCATTATGCAGGCTGAGAATGCAATCAAACTGGTTGAAGCATCAATGAAGGCAATGATGAAAGCAATCAAAGAGCAGTACAACAGCCAACTAGACAAGCTGATCAAACACAAAAAGAATCTTCAGAAAGAAAGGTCTGATGAATATGTTCAGCCCCCAGAAGGAGAAAAATCTGACAATCAAGTAGTAGGACCAGACAATGAGTGTGAAGATGATGAAGAAGAGAATGATGAAGAATTGAATGCCAGTTTGAATAAAACAATCAATGAAATATTCAAACAGACAAAGATATACCAGAACGAAGAGGAGAACGAGGAGCAAACACAGAAAGAAGATGATTCACAACCATCTACAGTCGATCTTGCTGCATCTACACCGAAGCCAAAAGAAAAGGAGCAAGATGATTCTGCTCCAGGAGCTGTGAATAGGGAAAGCATCCCAAAAGAAGGAGATCCATTGGGGGAAGTTGCAACAGAGGACACCCAGAAAGCAGTTCCAGAACAGACATCTGCAGAAGAAACCGAACAAAAAGGAGCTACCAAAACAGCAGATCCAATGGAAGTTGATAAGGAAACAAGAGAAGAAGGGAATACAGGGCAAGCTGCACAAAAGACTGCAGAAACTGACAGCGAGAAGACGGTGTC